GAATTACAAATTGGTGTTTTTGCCATTTCTCCCTCCAATGAATCAGCTGTTTAGTTTTAAACCATCAACGGAACCTCTTTTACACTGTTATACACAAATGAAAATAATGCGAAACTAGAGTAAAGTGCAACCCAGAAAAGCTTTTATTTAAGTTCTAAATATTTTTGTTCAAAATAAAAATTCTATTTGGTTTGGCAACTTTTTTTTGCAGAATCGTTCCTACTTTCTGAGAGGTTTCATATCGGTATGTTTAAAGATATCTACTCGATATAAAGCAATAATTATTAATAATTATATTGACTTAAACGCTTAACGAAGTGAATTTAGAAAAAAACATGTCGGTTTAAGAAAGTTTTCTATAAATATATGCAATCACCCAGAATGAAAATCATTTCTGGCAATCCCTAGGCTTAGTACAGGGAAGTTATCATACAGGGAAATTTTCATCTTTCTAAAAATCCCAGGGAAAGATTTCACAGGTTCTTTAAACATTACATCCGGGAAAATTTTCAATGTTAGTTTTTTTCATACTAAACATACGAAAAAATGGCTGCCCTTTATAAACCGCTAACTATCGTAAGAAAAAGTTTATTGCGTAGTGCGATGTAACCCTAATAGTCTAATTTTTATAGATTATTATTATTACCGTTTTATCAATTCCTTCCATGATTTCAAGGTTAATTCTACAAAGTATTTCAGTGGATATAAAACACTCAAACACTTCAGCTTCTTCTCCTCAAATTCAAACTCAGCACTAAAAATTGGGTTGTTATGTTAATAATTATCAAACAAAAGTTCTTTACCTTAAGAAATATTAGTTATTAGAATTGATTGTTAAACAAGGTTTAAGTTTAACAAGTGACACTGACATAATCTCTTCAAACTAAATAATTTGTCATTTTTTTACATACTATGTCGTCGTTATTTAATAATTAAAAAAACTAATTCTGAAAACGTATCCACCCCCAAAGTATAAAGAGTTTTAAACGTCGAATTTGCGCTCAAACTCAGGATTTACAGATCTTTAAAAAGTTTAATATGTCTCAATCTCAAATGAATCCGAAAGAAGTTTTCCACAACACTGCATACTCAGTTCAACTACCTTGCATAGCCGGTCACTCCCTTTAACCAACATTTAAAGCTCTCAGACTCTATCCTCTCTTTCGATCAATGGACAATCTAACCTTCAGTAATAAGAGTCTATATCCAACTAACTATATTTAGGTCTAATGGTACAGCTGTAAAATAAAAGTCACCGATATGCAGTCAATGAATTACAACAAACATAAATATACACAGGGTGAAAAGATATTGGGATATTACTATATTTATTACAAGCATATTAAATATTCATTAAAGTTCGTTTTATAAAACGATTGTAAAACAAAAAATTTTTGTTTAGTTTTTTGATCGTTTCAAATACGATTGTTTTGTTTTCGGAAAAAACGATACACTCGTTTTTAACTAAAAAAACAGATATCGATCGTTTTTTAAAAGCGATCATCTTTATAAAAAAATAAGAGACCATTTACAAAGGATCGTCGTTAACGATCGTTAACGACACGACATACTTTTTAAAAACGCTTGATTCGTTTTTCGTTTGTTTCGTCGTCGTTTTCATAATGAAACGATTGTTTTTCAAAAATATTAAAACAATCCATCCCTAACTGTAGTATTGTGGAGATTTTTTTTTAGGATTCATTTTAGACATATTAAACGTTTAAATCATGTGTAATTACAGAGTTTGAGCGCAAAGTCGACTTTCAAAATCTTTCATTTGGGTGGATACTTTTGAGGATCGTTAATTTAAATTATTAAATAACGACGACAAGAACTATAACAAAATATCTACAGTAAACTAATTGGTTGTTTACTAACAGATTGAGAAAATAAAAATTAACTCTTTTCATCGGAATTAAATAATCTTATTCAGTTAATTGTTTCTGTAATCTATTATTGTTCACAAACATTTTGTGTAGATTTTCTGGAATTTATATTGAAAAGAAATTCGTAAAGAATAAGTAATGTAATATAATGATAAAAAAGAAATAATTGATTGTAACATTGATTTATTGAAAAATTTTCGTTGAGAAATATGTTCCAAAACATCTAATTAGTTTACTGTAGAATTTTTGATACATCTTTCGTCATCGTTACTTAATAATTTTAAAAAAATCTATTCTAAAAACGTATCCAGTAACCACCCAGATGGATTATTTTGAACGTCAACTTTACGCTCAAACTCAGGGGAGTCGAATAATGAAGTTTGACTTAAGCTAATAAGTTTGTTTACCAAAATTTAGAAAAATTAGAAAAATAGTAGAAGCAAATATTATGGTATGGCAATTTCCTAAATCTTTTAGTAATACTTATTCATAGCTTTTGTTCACCTTTTTTGCGCTGTATCCTTGAATGTTGATTTCTTATTGGAATCAAAACTCTGATTTTTGTAAAGTCCAGTCACAAATAATCTGAATTTGTAAACTTACAAATAGTCCATAAATAAAAAATGTATGCATTTAAAGAAAATCGTTATTCAATGCCTTTTTTTACGCAACAAACACAAAAAGCAATTATATACATAAAAATAGTTTCAGTGCTCGGAAATCATGTAATTTTGTAAAAAGTTAGTTAGATCTGATTAATTGAATTTTTTTGAGATTCCAGGCAGGTGGTCTTACCATGATCTCAGATAACATTTTAAACAAATAGTTGACTGATAATGATAGCAAAATACAGAATTCAGTCCAAACATTTTTACAATCAACCGGACATCAGATAATCAAAGATAACCTTTTCACAATTTTCTGGTTAAAACTGTATACTGTAAGTATGTACAGGGTGTCCCAAAAAACATGGGAATACAGTGACGAATTGGATATCGTCTTTGTATTGAATTAGCATTGTAATACCTATTTTCAAAAGCCATAATATTATTATGTCTGCTAGGATTTATTTTATGAAAAGGGTAACAGACTCTAAAGATGTGTCTATAACGTCTCCGCAAGATTAACAGTAAAGACGGACAAGTTTACTCTGTTTGTATATTGCAATTTTCTTGTTTTATTTAGTACAACCGTATGCAGTCAAAACATAAACAAACAAAATGTGAACATAGCAGACGGAACTCTTACAGATTACAGCTTTCTCAGTAGGTATCACTGTACTAAATCAAAGAATTATATAAAAGACGATATCGAATTCGCCATGTTTATTGGGACACCCTGTATGACAGAAAACGTAAAGGAACCATGAGCTGTTTACTTTTTATTCTTTGAAAATTGATAATTTTCGATTAGCGTTTATCTGTGAACGTAGCATGCGGATTTATGCTACAGAAACAATGTAGAAAATTGTTAGAATTAAACAATTAGCATGAGCTACATTATGAATAGCGTATGGAACTCTTTAAAAACTAAAATTTAAAAACTTTAATGGTTTAAAACCATCCAAAATTGTCATTTAGAATTATTATTACATGGTATCTGATGATTTGTCGTAAACAACAACAATATCGTTCACAATCTCCATTTTTAATATTGATACTAAAGCATTATTATGGCTTATCAATATTTCAGTTATTGAAACGGAAATAAACTTCAGGGGAAACTAGTTCCAAAACTAACACTTGGCCCATTTCTAACACCTGAGTGCTATAAAAAGAACTCCTATTATAATTTTGATTTAAAAAAAAAGTTTAAAATTGGAGATTTTTGTCCTCGTCATGTTAAATAAAATGTTGGTTATAGTTTTTATTTTCGACTTTTACTCTGGATACAGGCCGGGATCCCAAAATCCCAATCTTTCAATTTGTGCCCATTTCTAACACTCAGTGTTAGACATGGCCCAGTGTTCGTTTTTGAACTAATGTCCCCTGAACTTAAAGCGTCATAGAAACTTTGTGTTATAGAATTTCCACTGATAAGTAATTTCTTTCTGTCTCTGCCTTATTTATTGAACAATGGCAACATCACGGTGGATTAAGCCAGTGGGCTCGGTCAAATAGGCCTAAGATTAGGCCGGGAACTGTAAAAAGCCTGCTGAATGCGCCATGGGAGTTGTCGTAGGTAGCCCTCCGACGTGACCGGACTATGCCAAGAAAATTGACCCCTTTCGTATGTTAGTCTGGTTAGGGCGACGTACTGTACCATAGGATCGGGCCAGTACACGCTGTTATCTGGCAGGCCGGTACGAACTGGGCAGGTTCTGTTCGAATTCAAATTTACTACAGCCCAGAGTGACATACCCTCTAAATCTACAGGGTGATAGACAACGGATGAGACTTCAGAGACAACTGTGCGGAATTTACACTGTCTTTTTCCTTTCATGATTCTATAAGCCAAAAAAAACTATTTCAAAGGTAGTTAAAGGGACCGTTCACTTCAACCCCCCCCCGGTCCTTCCTGACGTAATCCTATTTTAAATTAACCGGCTGACAGGGCTCACAATTTATTCAATGTTAATTTAATAAAAACACTATTTCGGATTATTCACAAATACATCATTGCAAGTAAGATAGATACATTTTATTTAAAACGCAAAGTTGCATCTACGAACCAAAATTGTGTAATGATTAATTGATTGCTGTAGAGAACGTCGTCTTTGTGTACATTTTAAACGTTTTTATACGAAAAACGTAAATTCTTGCTAACTCAAATATCAATAGTTTTCATATATAACATAGTATATAATTGCTAACACATAATGGCATTGAAATATGATAATTTTAAATTTTCTTTGGATGATGTTACTGAAAAACGTAGAATTTTAAAGAAAAGTATTTAAAATATAAATAAAGGAAGACATACTAGAAAAGAGGAAAAGAAATGAAAGATGTTTAAAATACAAAATAGAATATTTAGAAATTAGATATCATGATGAATTCATATACAGTTGTAAAAAAAATTCTGAGAATATTAGGAACAATATATGAATAACTTTTGGATGAATAAAAAAATTGGAAATTTATATTTATTCTATTTTAAATAATTTCATTGCAATAATTGAAGTTTTTTCACTGAACGTCATAAAACAGACGACATTTAAATTTATCCTCTGTCGTCAAAAACATGCTGATCTACTTTGCAACCTCTGCATTGGATGAAGAAAGCCAAATACAAAGAGACAAACAACTGCACCGGATTAAAACAATTTTAGTGTTTTTTTTAGGTTTTAATCAGACCCTTCCTCTGACAAAATTCCTTGCAGATGTTTAATATGTCCAGAGCGAGCTGGTAGAACTCTAGAATGTTGGATATCAGGATTAATGCTTAATCCTCTGTTTTTGCTAATCTCGAGACTAATATAATCTCGAGATTATGTTAGTCTTGAGATTAAATATTTAGATCAACAAATTGGATTCTAAGAACGCCAGATTTGTTGGTTTTCTTGACTGAAAGGGCCATCACTTAATTTCTCACCCATTTATTTATTAATACATTAGTTAAAATTGGTTACAAAAGAATCTCAAACGTATTATTAAATATTTTTCCTAACCGATTAATTTACAAAATAGCCGAAAAAAATTCTTGATTTGTTAGAAATTGCGGATTTCTCTCATGGGATAGAATTTATTTTCAAGGCTGTCAGTGGTCAATACAGTTTACGAACTATTTTCTTGCACTCTCATTGGAGAAAATAATGTACGGATATCCAAAGAGAGAGAAAAAGAGTGGATTAAGGATTAAAATTAAAAGTTTCCACAGTGGATTAAGTAGTTGGGATTAAAGGTTATCCATTCTAAAGTTTCCAGCCCCGATCTGATAATGAACTGATCTAATTTTCGCAGAATTCTGATGATTTTTTAGCGGATTTTTATGTCTTACTTTGTTGCATTTCCTAAAAGTCATATATACAAAACAACTAAAATTATTTGCGCTTGAATTTTTTAAAACATTAGAATAAGTATTTATAAAATCTACGAAATTTACGATTATGACTGGGAATTTTTGCCAAAAAAACGCTAAGATTCATTAACTATTTTATATGCTGTTTGGCCGAAATATATAGAAAATATCTCTTATTTAAAATTTAACTATCTATATAATATTTATTTATTTTGATTATAAGATATTGATTCATAAATATACTGATAAATTTAATAAAGTCCGCCAGGAACATCTCGTAGGTTTGGTCGGAGAGGGATTTCATCCTGGATGGGAGGATGGGAATGAACTGTATGGGATGGATGGGATGAATTAGAATTAAGTTTATGGGATGAGAGTAAGGTTGGATGAATAAAGGATGGATCTAAGGGAAGATCATCTAATTCAGTGATTTCAACAGAATGCTCCCTATACTCCTATAATAAAGACGATTAAAGGGACTATTGTTGAAATTCAACTAGTGACATGAAATCAAATTGTCAAGTAGAATACAAAATTGCCAGGTTAAGGGCTGATGACATTTTAAGATTCAGATGTACTTTGATGCTACGATCTTTTTCATGTCAATTACATTCTTTGTCAAATACTGATCTAAAAAAGTACCTTGTTATATATGCATAATTACAAGTAACTTTTTTTATTCTTTGTTTTTCAATGTTGCTTTGAGAATATATTCACTATTGAAATAGAAGATGGGCGCGCCCTTAAAGCCTAGTATTTCAAATCTTCTATACTCAAGATCCAGTACACATGTAAACAAAAAAAACCTATACATTTTAAACTTAGAAATCACGGAAAAACAATTCTATGACACAAAGCGTGACGCCATTTTTAAATTTTATTTTTGTTTGATTTTAAAATAATAAAATGTGCCACCTATAGGATATTAAGAACTTCAAATAAGTAAAATACGATGCAAAATTTACAAAAACGTTGTCTATAGATATAGCAAAACAATCTGGGGTTCAGATACCTGAATTGAAATAAAGGAATCACGCATTGGGTTCAAAGAGTACATATCTGGCAGATCAGCAGGTTTCAAAGAGTACATATCTGGCAGATCAGCAGGGTTCACCTGAAAAGTTAAGCTGTGAAATCTTAGATCAGCAGGGTTCAAAGAGTACATATCTGGCAGATCAGCAGGGTTCACCTGAAAAGTTAAGCTGTGAAATCTTCAGATCAAGGGAAACAAAAACGTAAAAGTTGACCCGGTCCTAGACGTTGGTTCATCATTTTTTTAAATGTTTAATTCGATTTGAATTATTTGGTTTCTTCGAAACAAAACATAATTGTGAACATTGTTTTGCTTTTTGACTTAAATATTTTTAGACCAAAAAATGATTAAAATAAACACATAAATGTAAACAAAATACATATATTTTATATGTGTCCCAAATGTACACTAAATCATACATTACAGTCATATTTCTGCTTAAATTTACTTTCGTTTTATAAAGTTCATATTCAATGTTGGGTTTCTGCCAATGGTGGGTTACATAAATTTATATTTATAAAGTTATAGATACAGTGAGACCCATTAAACTGAAGAATAGTAAGACGACATTAAAGTCAAATTTACCAAATCGATTTTTGAAAACTATTTGGTAAATTTTTTTTTAAAATTTCGTTTTACCCTTATATTTAGACAATTAAATAAACGTAGAGGGTGTCTCAAAAAAACGGGAAATAAGGGTCCAAAGACTCGTTTGTAATCGGATTTTCAAGATTGAGACCATTTTTGAAATCTACGTGCAATTTCAGATTCAACGAGTCCAATTTTACGCTTGTAGATCTAAAAATATCAATTTTACGGGCTCCTAAAGTTTCCAACTGGAGTAAGTAATTTGGTGAAAATAAGATAATCTCAGTTTACACAATTTTGTATAATGGTTTGCTTCTTATCGGATTTTCAAGATTGAGAACATTTTTTAAATTTTAGTACAATTTCCGATTCAATGTGTCCAATTTTAGGCTTGTAGATCTAAAAATAACAATTTTATAGGCTCCGAAAGTTTCCAACTGGAGCGAAGTAAAAAGTAAAAGAAAATCTCCTTTTGCACTATTTAATATTCAATGTTAGGTTACAGTTTATTACCGTACAATTGTTATTTTTAGATCTACAAGCCAAAAATTGGGCTCATTGAATCGGAAATTGTACGTGGATATTAAAAATGGTCTCAATCTTGAAAATCCGATTACAAACAAGTCTGCATAGACCCTTATGTGCAAACAGAGATTATCTTCATTTTTACCTAATTTACTCAATCTAGTTGGAAACTTTAGGAGCCTTTCAAATTGTAATTTTAAGATCTACAAGCCTAAAATTGGGCTTATTGAATCGGAAATTGTACACAGATTATAAAAATAAAAATCTTGAATATTTGATTACAAAAAAGTCCGTAGACCCTTCTTCCCCGTTTTTTTAGACACCCTATATAAAGATTACAATTCTGATTCAGTCAAGATGAAAAAATCCACCAAACTAAGTCCATCATCTGAAGTATTTAAGAAAAACGAATTTATTGAAAAAAAAACTTTTAAACTTATACCTCAGGGAGATACATAGCATTCACGGCTTGATTTAATGGAAATCCAGCTTTTCCTGCCTAAACAATCAATCAATCAATCAATCAAGCCACCATCTTTGGTTAGGTGGGTAAGAAAAAATTTCAAAAAAATGATGTAAAATACAATCCGTATCTACCTTGCTCCAGTTGTTTTTCACATCTTTGATTATTTTCGAATTTGGGGCAATCATGTGCGGCGGGGGCGGGACCCACTCCGGGGGTCCAGGCGACCTTCCGGCCCATCCTGGGGAAATGGGGCCCCAGTCAGATTGTCCAGGGGAGGGGGGGATCCAGTTTGGTGGCCCAGAATCCTGAATACCCCAAGAGAGGGCGTTTTCTTTCTTTCCTCCGGGTCGTCTTCCTTTCCAAAATGGAGTATCTTCCCTCCAATCATGTAAATCCTAAAAATATTTTTTTAATTTTTTAATTTCTAATTTTAATTATCTAGGTTTAATTCTCACCTGTGCCGATCTCCTGTGTTCTTTATATTTATCAGTTTTAAGATTTCTGTCTTCTCTTTCAAATCTCTCATCTCTCATTACCCTTTTGTTCCGATTTCCTCGTTCACTCTCGTCGTGTCGGGACTGCATTCCCTCCCTCATGCCTTTCTCCTCACTTCCAAGCCAAGCTTCTCGCCTTCCCTCCCTCGTCCCTTCTCTCATCTCTGCTTCCATCCTTCCTTCCCTCTCCAACCGTTCTCGTTTCTGTCTCATCTCTTTTGACCGTGAAATTCTAGAGATAAGGAAAATGAATATGTCGTCTTCGCTGAAAAAAAATATTAATGTGTGTTGGTTCCTTTTAGAATGCGATACATATAGTTCTTGGTTTATAACCTATCTGAGTTCTGAGGGTGATGGTTGATCATCTACCTGAGTTCTGAGGGTGATAGTTGATCATCTACCTGAGTTCTTAGGCCGATGTTTGATTAAATACCTGAGTTCTGAGAGTGATGATTGATAATGATATTATTGATAATGTCTACCAGGATGATGGTTGATTATCTACCTGAGTTCTGAGGGTGATGGTTGATAATGATATTCTGGATAATGTATACCAGGATACTAGTTGATTATCTACCTGAGTTCTGAGGGTGATGGTTGATAATGATATTCTGGATAATGTCTACCAGGATGAAGAAGTATTTTCCCTGAGTTTGATGAACTCCCAGGAGGAGCAGGAGGAGGGGAACTAAGCAAAATGGATAAAAGGGACTGTTTGCAAAATTTCAAGTGACCCTCCATGCAAACTTTTTTCGGATCAATACTGTGGAAGATATTGTCGTTTTTCTTGGGTTGAAATTATTATTTAAAATTATTAATATTTCTCCTGCAGTAGAAATGTGCAAGTCACTTTTGTAAAGAAACCATAATTAAAATAATCCGTTTTTAAAATTGATATAAACTTTGATTTATAATTCATATTTCATGAGACTAAGCTTTTGGTTGGTAATCGGGCCTTGTCATCTCTGCATTGAGGGTCACTTGAAATTACGTTTTTAGTTTTACAATTTAAGTTTTAATATAAACGTGATTAATTAGATTTTATACAGGCATAACCAGAAAGACCCGGAATTAATTTATAATTAGTCAGACGACTTTACAATCTAATATAACGAAAATGATTAAATAAACGATAATAACAAAATAGCTCTAGTCCTGCCAATTCCAAAATGTGGGCTGTCTTTATTGTGCGCTTAATATTACCAGAGATATATATGTTAGGGTGTCTGAATAACTGTCAATTAATTCCGGGTCTTTCTGGCTATAAATTGGCTGACCTTCAGAAGAATTATGAATATTTTTTAATTCAACAAATATATAATACCAATAAAACTAGGCTTTTAGGGCGATTTGCGCCTTTATTCAATTTCAATTTTGAATATGTTCTCCTTGTATACATTGTAAAACAAAAACAAACAAAAATTTCGCGGATTTTATAAATAAATTTCGTGGATTTTCAAAAAAATTTTAATCTAATTTTGTTAGAGGCAATTTTTTTTAAAATTCGATCATCCAAAACCTTCCCTGGGGTCACGCGAGGTACCACACAAATGTGGGCCCGATTGGTTCAGCCATTTTGATATTTATTGGATACAAACGGAAAGACAGACATGTAAAGTATATATAGATAGACAGAAGAAAAATAGAAAAAAGGAAAAAAAGGATATAATTTCAAGGAAAGATGTAGGAGAATATATAAAAGAGGGGAAAAGGAAGTGAAGGAATGTAAACTGATAGTAAATGAACCAAATAAATATTTGTAAAAATATGATAAATGTAACAACATTTTGACAAAAAATATCAATCAATCAAGTTTGAGTAAGGTCAATATATTTTAGTCTCACGTTTTTTCTTTAGAATATTGAAAAATATTAGTTTTCTTGATAATTATCTTTTACTAGACATACATTCTCATTATATCCCATCCCCTCTTTTTATACTGAGTATTTTTTTTCTTTTGATATTTTTAAATTAATTTAAAATATGTTTGTTCTTTTTCTTTAAAAGGTGACAATTTCGAAAAACTTTTTTCGTTATCAAAACTTTACTCTTTTTTTGTTATCAAATATTGTTTTGTCCCCAAACCACTTTTGTCATTAATTCCTGTTTTGACATTAATTCCTCTTTTTTTGTCATCAATTTATCTTTTTCTGTCAATTCCTCTTTTGACATCAATTCCTCTTTTGTCATCAATTTCTCTTTTGACATCAATTCCTCTTTTGTCATCAATTTTTCTTTTGCCATCAAAACCTCTTTTGACATCAAAACCTCTTTTGACATCAAAACCTCTTTTGACATCAATTCCTCTTTTGACATCAATTTCTCTTTTGTCATCATTTCCTCTTTAGTCATCAATTCCTCTTTTTCTGTGATCAATTTTTCTTTTGTCATCAATTCCTCTTTTGTCATCAATTCCTCTTTTGTCTTCAATTCCTCTTTTTCTGTCATCAATTCCTTTTTTGTCGTTAGTTCGTCTTTTGTCATCATTTCTTTTTTTTGTCATCAATTTCTCTTTTTCTGTTATCAATTCCTTTTTTTGTCATCAATTCCTTTTTTTTGTCATCAATTTCGTTTTTTATGTCATCAATTCCTCTTTTTTGCAATCAATTTCTCTTTTTATGTCATCAATTCCTCTTTTTTTGTCATCAATTCCTCTTTTTATGTCATAAATTTTTCGTTTTCTGTCATCTATTCCTCTTTTTTTTGTCATCAATTCCTCTTTTTATGTCACCAATTCCTCGCTTTTTTTGTCATCAATTCCCCTTTTATGTCATCAATTCCTCTTTTATGTCATCAATTTCTCTTTTTTGTCATCAGTTCCTCTTTTTATGTCATCAATTCCTCTTTTGTCATCATTTCTTTTTTGTCATCAATTCCTCTTTTTCTGTCATCAATTTCTCTTTTGATGTCATCAATTCCTTTTTTGTCGTTAGTTCCTCTTTTGTCATCATTTCTTTTTTTTGTCATCAATTTCTCTTTTTCTGTTATCAAATCCTCTTTTTTTGTCATCAATTTCTCTTTTTATTGTCATCTATTCCTCTTTTTATGTCATCAATTCCTCTTTTAATGTCATCAATCCCTCTTTTTTGTCATCAATTCCTCTTTTTATGTCATCAATTCTCTTTTGACATCAATTCCTCTTTTTTGTCATCAATTCCTCTTTTTATGTCATCAATTCCTCTTGTGTCATCGTTTCCTTTCTTGTAATTAATTTATCCTTTGTCATCAATTCCTCTTTTGACATCAATTCCTCTTTTGTCATCAAGTCCTCTTTTGTCATCATTTCCTTTTTTGTAATTAATTTATCTTTTGTCATCAAATCCTTTTCCCTTATTTGTTTTTTTTTTTCCTAGTTTCTCTTTCCTAATTTCTGAGGCTTTTTGGTCAATTAGGTTTCCCACCCTCTTTAGTCACCCCTCTGTTATTTTTGTCATCTGTTTGTCTATTTTCCATTTCAATCCCTCCCGTTTAATCTGTTCGTGGTTTGCTGAGAAATATCATCTCACGTTGCGTTTAAAGTTTCATCCCACGGTTTTTATTCTAGTTTCTTCTCCCCACCATATTTGTTTGCCAAACCAATTAAAATAATCGGTTTGCGGAGAATTGAACTGATCTGCTTAATGTTATCTAGACATGAAATATAATCATACTTTCACTCATCAGGTTTATCATCACACATAGTTTGGTTAAACATGTGAAGTTTCACTTGCATCAATAAAATGAATTATTTTGATGACATTTATTCATTCATTGAGTTTAATTTCTATTTTATAGTTGAAAAGAGCCTTTGAAATGCAAAACAGGACCAGAACACATTCTTGGAAGGATTAGAACCAAAGTTGTAAAATATGGTTTTCTTTTAAATTTAAGCACGGCAAACTAGACAGGGAAGGACTAGGTAAAATTTATGCAAAATCACTGGTACGACCATGTTACCTTGTACCTCCTCTAATTTTGATTTTATAAATAAACTAGCTGAAGGGCCCAGCGTTGCCCGTGGGAAATTTTTTTTTTAAATGATGTGAAAAATTTTTTAAACATTTTTTTGAATTTTTTTAGACAATAACACCCCTTGGCTTATCATTAGTGTCCACAAAAAAAATCAGCCCAATTGGTCCAGCCGTTTGGCCGGCCTGGGCTATAGGCAACATATAAATATATACGAATTGTCTAATCCCTATATCTTTACAATCTGATGATGTAAACCTTTGATATTTCAAACTTAGATTGTTTGGTCTAACAGAATTCATAGTTTGAAATATCAAAGGTCTACGACATTGGGTAGCAAAGATGAAGAGATTAGAAAAGTAGAATTCGTGACAAAAACTCAGTTCCTTTATTTTGTTACAGGACTGCCCATATTCTGTATCCAACCCCGCCCATTTCGTAAAGTCGTCTTTATGTTCCACATAGTTTTGGGGACCTCTGTACGCACCTGTATCCTCCCTCTAGTCCTTGATGCAGACTCTCTGCTCTTCGTAGCATAGAGTTCTTCTTCGATTTTAAGCTCTCAGAGTTAAAGAAGGATTTGTGTCTTTTAACCCTAAAATATAAATTCATAGTTCAAAATTATCTTTTTGGGCATATTAAAGGGACTGTAAGCGTAATTTAAAGTAACCTTTTATACAAATTGATCAAATAAAGATTACGCTTGAACAGGGAACTGCCATCTTGTATCGAAGCAAGAAGAGTGTACCATGATTGGAGTCTGATAATTAGGATAAGCGTACCATAATCAACGAGAGTCTTCATTAATAGTTAGCAATACTAAAAAATTGTTTATGGGGGTAACAAGTTAAATTTAAATGAATAAAAACGCAGGCGTGTTAAATGCATTCAGTATTTATATTATTTGGTTTTATTATTTTCGTACAATGCTTCTCAACTTTTATCTAACTATACTTTCTGTACCTCAACTTCGTCTTACATATTTTCTCTAATTTTTGTGGGCCGACTTGAAAGTTAAAAAACCTTGATCTTTAAAAATGTCAAAATTTTACTATTTTTGATACAAGAAAATTCAGGAACATTTGGTTTTATTTAATAAATGGGAACGAATGAAAAATAGAACCACGCAGAGTGCTTTGTTTTAATAATATAAATAAAGACTGCGTAGACACTTAAAGAACTGTCGGTGAGTAGGTGATCAATACAGAATTGATACACTATTCGTGTTATTGGTAGACTATTAATTCTTGATCTGATATGGAGGGTCGCGCGTACAGTCCAGCTTTAACTGTGTTCTTTTATCAAATAAGATTACACAAGACCCATGAAACATTTTGTCTTGGAAGAAATATATATTTAAACATCTAAAATGTATATTTAAACTGAAAAAGTTGAAAATACTATATGTATATATATATATATATATGAACGAATGTCTTGTTTTATTATATAAATTAATTATGATAAATAACATTAAAAGGGAACTGCAATATAAAAGTCGTAATTTCAAGTAACCCTGCATTAGTAAAGAAAAATATCCGACTTATAACTTTATCTGATTAAGGAAGAACAAAATCTATTATTATTTCAAATATATGTAATTTCTCTTTGAAAGTGGCAATAAAGCAAATTGCAAGCGTTAACAAAGTCCTATCGATGAATTAATTTTTGTCATTTAGCTGAAGGTTAATAAGGTGAATTTAAATATCACTCTTTATATCACTGGAGAGAGTTGCCTAAACTTATGTCTATTTATATTCTTTCAGAGAAGAAAATTTTACTTAACTGTAGTGTTCTTTTATCAAATAAGATTATATTTATTATTAATCTAAAAAGTTTAAAGTTCCTAAATTATAAATAAGTAAAAAGTTTAAAATTTTAATCATATTTTTTTATGAGAGTTGAGAGAATTTAGAAAAAAAAGTATAAATTCAGATATTTTTACGAGTTCGATTTATTAAGAAAATATTAAAACATCTGTTGGATTCACACGAAATAAATAAATCCCCCCCCCCTCCTCCTCAAGGTTCAATTCATTACTACCCACATTCGTACTCTTTAAGAAAAATCCCTATTTTCCTTATGGGGAGGAAAAGGGGGGGGTAGTTTTTTAATTGTAGCTCTGTTTCAAAATATAAAAATTAAGATATTGAAGTATTTGTAATGGTTGATAAATATTTTTATTTCACATTAAAATTTTCATCCAAAGTTTCCTAGTTTTTATCATTTTTCTAGTTTTATCATTATTTTTTTCTTGTTTTCAAGAATTTTCTTCTTTTTTCTTCCGTGCCTGTTTTTTAACGTGTTTTCCAGTTTTTTTTCTAGATGTTTTTTTTAGTTTTCTATGAGTTTTTCTGATTTTGAAAAATTTAACCTTTTTTACGAAAAATTGTGTTGTCTGGGTTTAAAATTTTTAAAAAGGAATTCTATTCATATTAATAGAAGATTAATTTTTTTTTCAAGGAGTTCCAATGTTTCATAAGGAGTTTATAATTCAAAAGAGTTTTTATAAGTTTTCAACAGTCTTTTAAAAAAAATATATTTACTTAGTTTTTGACTCTTCCACTTTTCCCTCCGGCCGAACGTAACCAAATGATCTTGCGGAAACTGTTTCTAAAAAAATAAATTTTTTTTTAATTTACACAAAAAATTAAATCATAAATGTTGGAGTAAAGCAAATGTGGCTCTAATTTTAGAGGGATTTGAAGAATTCTTTAGATTTAATCCAAATAAATAAAATAAAAAAAACACTCAAAAGTTTTATTGAAAACCTCAGCACAAATTAGATTGTATTTATTGCAGTAAAAATAACTTCAAAACCAAATATTTCAGTGTTTATTTTTAGATAAGCATGTTTGATGTACAACGGTACTCTTAAACGCTTTTTCTCATTAAGAATGAATGAGCTATTAATGATTTTCGAATTAAATATTTGATTATTAATAATTGTAATGAAACGCTTTGGAGGCTAGAAGAACGAGGATATCTCAATCACTGCTATTAAGAAAAAGTTTTATAGGATACCTTTGTGAATCGGGCATCTGCCTCATTAAATGGCGCGTCAGTTAAAATAAAATCTGCCTCTTAAGTAGATTAAAAGATGAATTATACCTAGTGTATTGAAATTAGACCCTGCGCTCTGAAGATAGTCCCTAGAGTCATCCAATAACCTTCCCTCATCCATATATTCAAACAACTCGTCACGAAATGAATCAACTCTACTTCTGCCGCCTCTTTGACCGTTAGAGACTACTCTACTATTTACAGGTCTCTGTTTTCTTGAGCTTATATCTCTATATCCGTGCTCTATCTGCCTTGTATTCCAGTCAGAAAAGCTGGAGTTGCAGTCTCTAGCGTTGTTGATACTAGACTTATTGATACTGTACTCTTTGCTACCGTTGAAGTCTCTAGATTGGTTGATATTCGAGTCTCTGCTACCGTTCAAGTCTCTAGATAAGTTGATATTTGAGTCTCTGCTACCGTTGAAGTCTCTTGATTGGTTGATACTGGAGTCTCTGCTACCGTTAAATACTCTAGACTGGTTGATGCTGGAGTCTCTGCTACCGTTGAAGTCTCTCCTATTAATCTGTCCCTGAGAATCCTTCCGACTTGTCAAGCTGGACTCACGGCTAAAATCCAAGTAGCTGATAACACTTGGCTCTCTGCTATCTCTCACGCTTGATTCTCTACTTATTCCCAGCTCTCTGACACTGGGTTCTCTACTTGTACTTTCTCTATAGCTGGATACACTCGGCTCTCTGCTGCTAAAATCCTGAATTATATTTTTTGACCTTACGCCGTTCCGGTCAGGTTTGGCGGGTAAAGATCGGGAGACGGCGGAGCTTTTACTTCTTTCAATCCTTCCTCCTCTTTCCCTTCTCTCCCCTCTGTCTCCGCCTTCTCTGCTGTTCTCTTTGTCTTCCGCGTTATTCTCAATTTTATTTTCCCCGTTTCTTTTTTCTTTTCTTTCTTTCTCTGTATCTTTTTTGAAATCTGGACTGAATTCCGATTTATCTTTTATGGCATCGGCTGATGATCTGAAAATGAAAAACAATTATTTTAAAAATATTAATAGGGGATATTTTTGAAAAGACATTTTTTATTATTTTTAAAATTTCATTTGTGAAGTCCTTATTTGATACTTTTATACAGTGGTAAAATTATTCTTGAATTGTTTTTGATCAAAGTTGTTTTAAATCCCCGGAAGCAATTCATAGAAAGTTGGGAAAAGTTTTAAAAGTTTTCACTTTTTATGAAATTAAAATTTATATTCTTATCTATTCTTAAACTGTGGAATTTAATGTCGTCTTCTTATTCCACAGCTTGAAGGGTTTCACTGTAATTACCTCTTATTTAATATATTTTTGTATTCCACTCTTGAGATGGGGGTAGATTTAGGTCGGGGCTCAGCAGGAGCACATCGAGTTCGACGTCGAACTGGAGGCCGAGGAGTTCGTCGCATACTCGGTAGATCCATCTCCTCGTCAGAGGTCGCGATAGTTGTAGATTCGCTTATACGTTTATCCTCCGATTTGAAGAAGTTTGTGACCTCCGATTGTTCGGTGTCTTGTTTTTTGACTACGGAGGAGGATTTTTGGACTAAGGAATAGAGTTTGGTGGGTTCACTATCATCATTCAAAACATCCTAAAACACAATTAAAAATAAAATATATTAATTAAAAGTATCATAGCGATGTACTTTTAATTTACACTTTTGTAATTATTAAGAAATTTTATCTAAAAGAAAATTTGATTAAACGTTAAAAACTTCTATTTTTACAATACTTATGTTTAAATTTAATAATTAATACATATACAAAAACCAGCTTATATTTTTAATCTTATATTTTATTACCTGTAAGCCGTATTTCTTACAAAAGGAATCAATTGTTATTGTTTCATTTTCTACCAGTTCTGTCTCCTCCTAAAATATTTTTAAATCTAAACACTGCTGAGAAGATCCTGCACTGTCGTGGTCAAAGGGAATCAATTGTCCTTCGTTCTTCGCGGATTTACTGGAAAAGTGGTTTTGCATAGTGGTTCATGGTGATCAATCTTTAGCTAGAGATTAGCAGGGTTTTAGTCTGACCATTCATTTCAAAATATATCTTTAGTGGTTTCCAAATGATTGGAACATTTAAAATTAAAGAGAATGTTGTCGTAATGTCGTGATTTTTATTTACGATTCACAACGATACCCAATTTGAACCTTTATCGGAGAACAATTAACGACTTTACGTAATGGAGACAAAGAAGTAAATCGATAGAATCTAACTCTATCCTCCTCATAGAAAGGGTCAAAGTCTCTTTATGTCAAACAGACGAGCATAGATTTATACCAAATAATTTAAACCAATAAAAAACAGAATGGATTTATCCCAAAATATTTTCAACCAATGATTTATCCAAAATTAATTTAAACCAATGAGAAAACAGAATGGATTTATCCCAAAATAATTTCAACCAATGAGAAAGCAGAATGGATTTATCTCAAAATAATTTCAACCAATGAGAAAAGAGAAATGATCTATCCCAAAATAATTTCCACCAATGAGAAAACATGATGGATTTACACCAAAATACTTTTAACCAATGAGAGAACATAATTGGATTTATCCCAAAATGATTTCAACCAATGAGAAAACAGAATGGATTTATCTCAATGTAAATTTCAACCATTGAGAAAGCCGAATGTGTTTATCTTCAAATAATTTCAACCAATGAGAAAAGAGAAATGACTTATTCCAAAATAATTTCAACCATTGAGAAAAGAGAATGCATTTATCCCAAATTAATTTCAACCAATGAGAATAAAGATTTCTATTTACCTGTGAAACATTTCTCTCGGCAGTGTAAATATCTTCTATAATTGTGACAGTAACCGGTTCTCCTTCTATTTCAATCCGTTTCTTATTGCTCCCAATCTCTCTACAAATAAAAAGGTTTTTATTATTTTTATCAATAATTATTAATTGCACTTTCCTTTATTTTTAAGACAACCTAGACTTTAAAGTGTTGCACAGTCCCTTTAAGGGGTTCTTTTCTATTTGCTAGAAATATGTATATATGTACATCTACATCGTCACCACTTAAAGAGAAAGTGTTCACAATACTTTCAAAGATTAAATCAATGCTAGTTCTCTGATGAATTTTAAGATTGCCGAGATATTTTTCTTAATGTGTCCCTTTAGATTTAATTGAATAGCTAGAGTGCTGGATAAGATTGTAATCTTGATAAATGTTCTCATAAACCTTGGTGAAAATTCATCAACCTAAGGGCACAGAGGAGTAAGATCCCGCCCCTTCCCCTTTCTAGACCCCAAATGCCCCTTTCTAAAGTCTCCCCNCCCTCCCCCCTCCAGTCTCCAAAAATGCCCTTGTTTTCTTAATAGGGTTTCAACAAAATGACCATATTTTTTGCGCCAAATTTACGTAATTTTCGCCCAAATGAAGCATAACGAAAGCAAAATTTGAGTTTTCTTTCGCAATTTCGCAAAAGTTATACGAATGGAAACCCCATTTCTAAGTTCCCCCCCTCTTCCCAGCTCAAATATGGCCTGATCCTTTCTACCCCCCAGCCATTGTAGGTTAAAATACATTCTAACGAAGTTTTAAAATCTTCACATTTAAAATTTTATTCATCATTCTCATATTATTTTACTGAAGTGTTTTAAAAGCAATTTACGATATTAAAATCTTTAAGAGTGCAATATGGATAAAATGAAACCAACCTATTATCCATGAACAGACCCTCTAAAGGTGCGTCAAAAAATAATTGATGATTATAGGTGTAATATCCGAATGATTTGTTTGAAATTAAATTGACTTTTTTACGATCCAACTCGTATATTGCAAATTTCTGAATTTGTTTGGACTCTACGTTCTTCAGTATAAGTCGTTTTTAAAATTTCTCCTTATAGACACAACAGATACAAGTAAGATTAGTAGCGATCAAAAGCGATTATTTTTCGCCGTAAGCCTATACCCACTTCAATATATCGCGAACACTCCCTTTAAGCAAAATTAAACCAACCTATCATCCATGAACACTCCCTTTAAGCAAAATTAAACCAACCTATTATCTTCTTTCTCTTGTTTCTCCGAGTAAGAGGATTTGTCGGAATCAGTATCTGAAAAAAAACTTTTAAAAAATGAACAATGTTTGGAGACAATGTTTGGGCGCAACTAAGATTTCTTATTGAGGGGGGGGGGGTAGTTTCAGTAAAATATGGATGATTAAGAATATTTTTATGGAAAATTAATGAGATAAAGGTATATACCTTCAAGTGATTTTAATTATCAATTAGTTTGTACAAAAAAAATATGCATATCTCATGGAAATTCAGAAATAGCTCCATAACCCTCTCTTGAAAGAGGGAAAAAAAAGCTGTGGGCTGTGTCATACACAATATTCAATCATATACAATATATACGTATAGGTCTGGCAATGTTTGGATATTTTCGAAACAACTTATGAAATGGAATACATGTAAAATTCAAATTGATACATAGATAATTTTCAAAGGTCAAACCTTTGATAATTATTGCAAATAAACATCATGGAAAAGCCATAATACGTGAGCTATGCCTCAGTGTACCGTTTACGAAATAATTTTGTTTGCTTCCGTTCTTTAAGAAGTGTACATTGCTTCGGTGAGCTGTCCCCTCATCTCTTTTAATAGATGCTATCAGTTTGAAGAAACCAATCGTTCGTTAGCGTGAACGATGGCCCGTCCTAAAAATGTCCTTGCCTGTAAACATCTGCAGTCCACTGCCTGGGGTTAGATTAACCTCACGAATACCCTTCTCTTCAAGCTCATTCTTAGAACCTTCCGCCTTCTCATCCTGCTTCCAATCCGCCATAGTTTCAGCTTCCGCATCCCCCTTCTCCCTGTCCCCACCCTGCTCTTGTCGTGGTGGCGACTCCTTACGGATCGACCAATTGTCGCTCTGGCTGAGTGAGTTGTCGCTGTGTTTACCGCTGTCGTGATCACTTTCCTCTCTCCATCCTTCTCTCTCCTTCCCTTCAACCCAGCGGGGTTCTATGGGTTCAGTGCTCCTTACTTTTCTCCGGCTCCCAAACTTTGCTAGCTCCAGGTTTCTAGTCTCTAGCTCTAAATTCTTCTCCCTAAATATATTAATTTAATTCAGACTGATCTTAAATACCAAATACATAGCGTACAATAAGTTTTGCTGTAGCCAGCCCAAACCTTGCGCATTTTCGGGTTTTAAGAGTTGCGCATTTAAACTTTTTATCACAGCTAGCATTTTATATAACGAAAAATAGATTTTCAAGCTGAATAAATGTGACATTTTCTATTCAGAATTAGATCTATCTGTCTTCATTCATCTACATTCTGCGCAATGCAGAATTCCGCATTTTTTTCTGACATAAGTTAAAATGACATAAAAAATGTGGATTGTAAGGCGGAATATAAATGTGCAAGTAAAATGCAAAATTTGCACAAACGGGTTTTCTATTCTGCTGGAACCACAAGCTCTTGAAAAGACAAACGATGTGAAATTCACACATTATGTATATTCTGTCTGAACATGTATTGCAGCCTTATACAACTTTTAAACCTTGTTTCAAATGTTGAAATTATCAATTGCTCCCAAATTAAAGAATTGCACATGCCAGGATTCACAACAGTGCCCTTGACTTTATCTGAACAATAATAAGAAAGATATTGTCGTCTTTCTATTTTCAGAAAAGTTTAATTCTGTTAAATGCCTTCTTTGTTTCTGCTTTTTCAATCGCAAGTTTCATATATAGAAACCACAATTTAAAACTATCTATTTTTAGATGAAAAACTTAGCCTTTTCTCAAAAATGTATATAAAAAATAAACGCACCGTTTAAAAGGCCATACGCTATGCTTATATCTGTATGAAGTTATGAAAATCTGATAATGAATAAGCAGAATAAAGTGGGGATTAAAGAAAATTGAATTAAGGCAGCTAGGGGAACGAAATGAGTCTCATGTACACAATGCACAGTAAACTAAACAGTTAAACATGGTGTAACTTTCAATTATTTTTATACTTTTATTCTAACTTTTATAAGATATCGAAATTCGTAATTCAGGCATTTTTCCCGCTCGTTCAAAACTTCATTGGAACGATTGAAATAACTTGGATATCATATATATTTCTTTTACAGGCAACGCTTTTATGGGTACTGTCGTCAGGAGCGTATTCAAGAATTTGACCAGGGGGGCTTAAACTTTTTCTTATATATACTTTTATTTTATAAAACTGGGGCATTTTATACCTACAGGGGTGCCTCAGCACCCGTCTCCTTTCTTGTAAATATTTTAGCTTCCAATTGTTGCTTTGAAAGTCGGCCATTTAAAATCATTTTAAATTTTGGAGGATTTTTCTTTTCGAATCGGCGCAATTATAAAAAATCCACCATTTTCCAAGATTTTTTACTTCCAAATTTAATGTTATATGAGGCTTTCATGAGGTCATGTGAAGTCACATAAAAAATTTGGGCCCGATCGATGCTGCAGCTTTGACGTCTATCGGACACAAACAGACAAACAAACAAACAGACAAGCAAAGTAAATAAATATATATATATAGAAAAAGAACCTGAGTTTTGAGAGTTCTGTTTCAAGTTTCTGAACCTTGGATTCTAATTCTAGTTTTGATAGAACAAGATGGTTTACATCAATATAGTTTTGCTGCCATCTGCTAAGTTCATCTTTCAACAGCTCAGATTTGCTCCCAACCTAGAAATGTACAGTTTACTTGCAATTCTTTATTTCAGCCACTTTCTCGCTCGTCTTTTGCTGTAGAAATCCGCAAATGTGGCTCAGAAAATATTTTCGAGTAACTATGCATTTAAAAAAAATCTAATGAATGGAAAACCTCCAATTATATCATGTTGTACATTGTAGACACTTAAATTACTCTGTGCAATTAAGTCATATTCTTCATTATTAAAATTAAACATTCATTAAAACTGTCGCTCCAGGCTACAGGCTTCAGGCAAAAAACATGTTTTTTCCCCAGAATTGCTCCCCCCTGCGTGGGTAAGCATATGACAAATATATNCTTCTACGTGTCATAAAGAACAAAAAAGGTTGCTTCATTTTCAAATTTGAATCATATTTAATCATGACAATTGTAACAATTTGAATTATTCTGAAATTATTGGATTAAAAACTTTACAATGTGAGTAAAAAGATTAAAGGGACTGTAAGCGTAATTTGACGATGTCCTCTATACAAAGATGGCAAAGCCCAATTTACTACAGTATACTTGAAACCTTAATCTAAAGGAATATAATGTTATTCTAACATAAAAAGTTTTTATTTATTTAAATTTATCCATTGTTTCGGATAAACAAGAAATGCGCAAGTCACCTTTGCATAGAAACCACAAATCAAAATAAATAGTTTAAATAAACAAAATCATGTATAAATGATTCATGTTTGATCAGACAAAGCTGTTAAGTTTCGTTCATTCTCAAAAATGTTGTTTGTTCACAAACAAAATGCCTGTCTCTACTTGTAGAAACTACAATAGTGCCAGGTCCACCTAGTCCTCTCAAGTTCTGTTAATAGCAGGTATACCATATCCCTCTGTCTTATTGGTCGGCCTACGCTTGGAACAACTATCACTTTTCGCTAAAGTTAAAAGAGGTTGTAAATGGAACACTGATCATACTTTTTGATCACATGATATTGACATGCCGCCCACTTCCTCCTTGCTCTCCCCCACCCCCTCCCCTGGTGATGTACCTGACTAAGAAGTTTATGAAGTTGTTGTATATCTAGTCCAGCTTGTTCTAGTTCAGATTGAATATGAATACGCTCACGAGCACCGTCTGCACTCTCTATATATGTGTTCAGAAATCTGAAATATATTCATTATCAGATTAACAAGCTTTTAGAGACTTTAGGTAGGATAGCCAGGAGAACTAGAAGAACTAGGAGAAATAGGAGAACTAGGAGACCTAGGAGACCTAGGAGAACTAGGAGAACTAGGCGAACTATGAGAACTAGGAAAACTAGGAGAACTAGGAGAATTAGGAGAACTAGGAGAACAAGGAAAACTAGGAAAACTAGGAGAACTAGGAGAACTAGGAGAACTAGGAGAACTAGGAAAACTAGGAGAACTAGGA